CCGTTCGCTGGCGGTTTCCGCTGTGAAGCACCGGGGTGGGGGCTGCGCTGCCGTGTGCCCTGCTCCCGGGGCCGGGGCACTGACACACAGGAGGAGGTAGTGCTTTTTTTTTTCAAGTGAGGGTAATTTCATATTGCAGTAATTACGCTTTCTGCACAGTGCCCACACTACATCTGGAGCGTTGTTTGCGTTTGAATTCTGCTTTATTAACAAATGGTTATACTTGAAATTAATTGCAAATAGGACAAAAAATAGCCAATAGAAATATTTTTAGACTCTGTGAATTACTAATTACACTGCAAGTTGTTTACTACTTGAAGTACAGTGCACTTTACATACATTTTAACAAACGCTTTTCCGGTTCCTGTGTGTTCTGTGAGACCGCAGGCATCAGCCCAGTACTGGTGAGAGAGTTACCAGCCTCCTTGAGAATCAGCAAGTCTGGATGCTTGTCCTGTGACAGACTCACTCCCTTACCTCTGGGAGCTCTTCTCCCTTTTCTGTGTCCTTATTTATGCTATATGTTAAAAAAAAAGGGCCCTCTCCTCTGCAAAGCACAGTGGGAGCTATGGAGAACACAGATGACAGGGAAGGTTGCTGTTGTAGCTACTGATTTTGGAAAATAAATGTAATCACCGTGGGTTTAAAATGGGTTAAAATTACAGATTCACTTTACTTGCTTTTGAAAAGATGAGAGGAACAATGGAAATAGAAATTAATCCAAGCCCCTGTTCTCATTAAGGAAGAAACCGTAGGTCAATAAATCATTTTATTTTGTTCTTGGAGTGTCCTTTGGAATAGAGATGTGTGGGCTTTTTGCTTTAACTAAGCTGAAAGTGACTAATAGTTCGTTCCTCTTTGTTACTGAACAAGTTTCAGGGATTTTTTTTTTTGAAGCAGTTAGCTTTCATCAAATGTGCAAAATGAAATAAGAAAACGTACCTCTTTTGAAGCTTTTGTAAAGTTTATTCAGTGTTAAGGTGTGGTAAACATGCATTGAACACTTTTGTGGAAACAACAAAGATATGAGTGGTTGTTTCTTACTGCTGAAAAGCATCTCATATTTTCTCCATCTTTCAGGATCAGGCAGAGCAGTTCTTTAGAAGTGGACATACAAATAACTGGGCAGTTTTGGTAAGTGTGGTCCAGGTTGTTTTCTTGCAATAAAATTGACGGTTTTTCATCAGGAGCCACAATTGCAACTGTCACTCAAGAATTCCGTTCGTTTGAAACAAATGGAAAGATGAAGACTTGGAAATGAAAAAAAAAATTAAATTGTGCCTGCAAATTTGTTACACTGTAATAAAATTATATTTTCAGTAAACTGCATTTCAAGCACTCACAGCGTCTGGCTACATGGCAGGATTCGTAAAACAAAAGTTCTGACAGCATTCAAACTGTTAAATTAGAATACTGCATATTGAATAGAAGTGTAATTCTGATACAGAGACGTAAATCTCTTTGACCAGAAAGGTACAATTTATTTCTGATTTTTGTTATTACTCAATTTGTTACCTTGTGATAACAGGCTTAGAATAAAATAAATTCAGGCAACATAATGTTTGGATCAGCTGTTCTTATCCTGGGTTTTTTTTTTTTTCTTTGCAGTGAATCTCTTATGAGCTTTGAATCATGCGACACAATTGGTTCTTAATCACAATTCAGGTCTTAATGACTAATTTATTTCAGAACACTATTGTAATTACTCAGTAGCAGCTGTTTGTTTTCCATGTACTAAAATGCAGCAATATAAAAGGAGTTAACAGTAATTAATTGAATTAGAAGGAATAATTTCTATATTCTACAGTGTAGAAACTTGAAACTATTAAAACATGAAGTACTACTTTAATACTGTTAACAAATAGGTGCTTTTACTAGTGCCCATAAAAACACGCAAAGAAAGTGGAATACTTGGTTGGAGGAGCTATACTTTCTGTCCTCAACAGATTCTCTGCTGGTTATATTTTTTCAGCAGTTCATGATTAAGCTTTATAACAATTGCTACTAACTTCTTAAGCCGTAAAATAAAGAGGGTTTTACTGCTATCAGGCACTTCAAGCCTGGGATCGCACAGCAATACTGCTTCATGAGCCGTTTGAATTAATATGCTGCAGTGTGAATAGCTATGTTTAAAGCATAAACACGTTTTTCACTGTGTTGTAAAGGAGGTAAAGGAGGAAAGGGGGAGATGATAATGTCTTGAAATGTCGCAGCTAGATTTGCCACAGTGAGTTTTCAGAGCTTTAAATTTTGCTGAAAGGCAAATGTTCTTGTGGACTGATTCCCATGGGCTTTTTTGAAATTCCTAGCTGATGGGATGATCAAGACACAAGAGGATCCTTTCAGGCTGAGTTTTTATTATTATTTAAGCTGCTACTCATTTCTTTTTATGAAAATGCTAGAGAAAAAGATGTTACATAGTGTAATAGAAACCAAGATGTTTCTATTTAAATTAGAGCAGTACATTTAAAGCCGAAAAAAATTTTAAAAATGTCTTAAATGCTTGTTCCTGCTTTTCTATTTTTGTGGTTTTAAAGTCACCTCTTCTAAAATGCTCTTCCTTTGTTTTGAAGATTTGTAAAAGAGAAAGAAATTTGTCTCCAAAGGAGAATTGCTGTCCTTCTGTAGAAGAAAAAAGAAGTGGTGAACTGAAGTTAATCACAAGGACAATGATAAGGCTAGTAAGGAACTACAGCAGATGGAGATTTCAAAAGGCTTCAGAGGCATTCATTTGAGGTTTTTGAGGACAGGTAGAATAATATTTGCCCTAAGAAATAGTTTAAGGATAGGACTGGCTGATCCCCAACCCTTTGCCTGTTAGAACAGTAGAACCTGAACTCCATTGAGATTTTTGAGAATTTGTATTCAGATTTTGGTTAGAGCTCGCTTAGCTCTTACTTTATTATATCTGACTTCTTAAATGCAAATGTCCTCAGTGTATTTTCCCTTGTGTGTGGCTTCTGCATGAATTCACTTATGTCTTTGTGCAAGAATGCTCCCAGAATGGGTTTACTATTGAGATGAGAACTCTTCCTTGATTTTTCTTCCATTTGATATGGAAAAAACAAATGAAAAAATTTAGCTTATCCACTTATGGTTGCTGAATTATTCCCTGAACTGTCACTTTCTATACTGAGTTGGGTTTTAAGACAATTTTTTCATGAGTCAGTATGTTAAGAACATTTTTTTAACTTTTATTTCCAGCATTTGTTGCTTTGATACAACAAAGATTTATATAGCTTATATCACAAGCTTCTTGGTGTTGCTGTATTCCTTCTGATTTGTTACTAGTTTGTTGATATTCCTGTAATCACGGTCTTCTGATGCAATGTGCCAGGCCAGTTTGTATCTTTTACACTATTTAATATGCTTTTTTTTTTTTTTCCTTAAAAACTCAAGGTGTGTACATCTCGATTCTGGTTTAATTATCGTCATGTGGCAAATACTCTCTCAGTATACCGAAGTGTCAAGAGACTGGGCATTGCTGATAGGTGAGGGAATCTTGGTGAATATAATTCCTTGCAAGTATGCTATTAAAGTTCTCTTCTTGTCTGAAGCAGTACGAAAACACATTTCTCTTCCCAGTTTAACTGGATGGATGTGATCACATCAGTATATTGAAAAGTGTGGCAATATTTTTCAAAAGGAAAAGTGAGAAGTTATTTGATAAAACTTCCAGCTGGAATAGGCTAATTAGATTAAAAGCAAGAGGAGCTATCTGGGCACTAAAATGTACCACTTAATAAAATGGTGAAAGCATAATGTGAAAATTGATAAATGCGTTCAACAATGACAATACTACTCTGAGATACATCTTTTGCTGTACTTTAATTTCCTTTCGGCGTGGAGACGTCAGCAACACTAACTTCGCTAAAATGTAAGACTTCCACATCTGCAACTACACTGAGAGTCTCTAAACTGAAGGCCTTGAATAACGCAGCTCCTACAGATTGAAAGTAGCCTTGAAAAATCCATTTCGTGGGATGTTTTTAGAGAAACCAGAAGCTTTGTCCATCTAGCAATAGCACAACAGTTTTAATGGTATCCTGTCTTTGACAACAGGATTAGGAAGGTGAACAAACTGTTCTCAACTGTCTTTTAGTTGTGTTCCTACTGGAAGTTCTAGGGGTATTGGCACAGTTCCATCCAGCTGTTTTGGAATGCCATTACTTGTATCAGAACTGTGGAAGCAATTTTTAGGCACCAACATTCATTGAATAATAGACTATGTGTATCCAAAGGCTCCCATGGAAATCCTGGTGGTCCTGGTTTTTAACATTAGTTTAGAGGACTGATGGTTTCTGGAGCATGCCTGCCTAGAGACGGATGGCCTGCTCCATCGTTGCAAAATGCATGTTCTGCTGGATTAAGTTTGTGTGGCATTTTTTTGTCCAAGTCCAAAACTGTAGTATCTGGAGTCTCCACTTACCTTCCACCCAGCTGTGAATGCACTGGCAGTAGCATTCTGTTTCCTGTATGTATTTTTAAAAAGAAAAAAGAGACTTGTGGGTTTTTGAAAAAGGGAATGATGAAACCTAATTTTCTGAAACATTGGGGGCTCTGACTCCAAGGTAATGTACTGCCTAAGCACTGTGGGCTCAAAGCCACAGAAAGACGGCATTTTTGTTTGCACATCTCATTCAGAAGTATCTGTCTTCTTTCCTGTATAGCTTTTGAAGCATGGGCACCCTAGGTACTACCTTAGAAATTCTTTCACTAGTTCTGAGAACTTCCTTACCTGAGAACTTCCATCTTCTCTGCACCCATCCATCTCACAATTAAGGTCAAAATAGGTGGCAGTTTTAGAAATACTGCAAAAACTACAGCATGGCTGGAGATTCTGTGGTTCAGTAGCCTGATCTGTTTCTTATCCATGCCAAGGATCTGGAAGTGAATCTCAAAAAGCCAGCAATGCTTTAGATTAAGGTCAAGAATAGGGCATTGGAGAAGACTGAGAGAACGAGTGAGCCTATTTTTTTCCCATTTGCAGCAATTTTTACATGGATTTGAGTGGGTTTCTCCCTTAGACAAACTTCTTCCTCTGCCTGTTTTTCTTTCTTTGCTGCAAAAATATATAGATATTACTGAGACTGAAAAATCCTCCCCAAAATCACATCTTAAAAATAAACATCATGATTCTTGGGGCTGGGTTTTTTTGGAGGGGTTTGTTCATAGCCTCGTTTTGAATGGAACTGTGTCAATTTGGTGTTTTAAATAGATTTGTCATTCTAAACCAGAACTCATTAGGAAAATGATTTGTGGTTTTGTAACTGTAAGTTGCTCTGGTCTGTTGATATGTGGGCACAATGCTTGAATTTGTAAGTGAAAAGTTTTGCTAAAATAACACAAAGCTAAAATGAATCCAGAAATTCTTTTTGATTCCTGGAATCATTATGCAGTATGAGTTTTACACCATGAAAATAACATAAATATATTGTGGTTAGATTACGTTGGTTTAACAGTTAAACTGCAGGTTAATATCTAGATTGTTCTGGTGCATGTGTGAACCACCTGTACGCAGTGGTTCTGTTTAACGATGGATATTTCATACGCTTTTAAGAATGCCGTACGGTATACAGACGTCACGTGTTTGTGCTCACCTGTCCGTAGTGCTACTATGCAGAACCTTTTACTGAGTGATGTGTGATTGTTAATTCTTCTCTTTAATAGAGACATTCCTAGCAAAAATATAGTGCCTAGTGATGGCTTAGACTAGAATATTTTCTTCTGAGTGTAATACAAAAAATGGGTGAACACGTTACTATCTCAGTAAATCTGCAAGGCATATATTCAACACTTGCTTCCAACTCATTCCCTTTTAATGATACTCTTTTCTAAAAATAGTTTTATACTGCTTTGCATGTGTGGAGAAAAAAAAAAATCTTTATTTCTTTTCTGTAGTTGTCCTTCTCTTGCTTCTGTCATTACAGCTTCATATTTATGCCAGCATTTTATTCCCATTGAAATAATTTACGTTGATTATTTTTGAGAGTTTGTGCTTGGTTATTTGGGACAGCATTTGTCTCTTTTTTTTGTTTTTTCCTCTTTTTGTGTGGAGTTTATCAGCACTTAATAAAGATTAACTTTACTCTGAAAGTGCTCATACAGACGTATAGGTGGACAATGACAAGAACAGGAATGGTGTTTAATTAGCAGGGCACAGTTTAATTTATAACTGTGTGCCTGAGAGTCTGAATTAGCATCATTCTTTGCAGGATACAGAGCTTTTCTTTTATAAGTATTGTTTGGGAGAACACAAAGATCACAGTCCAGGAGAAGCTATACCCAAGACAGGGTTATCCAAGGAAAAGACTGACTTCACCTTGTTCCAGACATC